TGAGTGTCCCACAAATAGGGGTTGGGCAGCCCAACCGACAAATATCAGTTTCTCCCCCACTCTGTGAACTCTATTCTCTTGCATTACCTTCAGAAGGGCTCCATCTCCTGGTCCCAGTCAGTCACTCAACAAACATTCATATATACCTACATGTTCCAGGCAATGTGCTAGGTGCTGGGAGACAGGAGTGAACAAGAGAAATGGAGACTACCTTCTAATGGGGGAGAGATTGATAATAAATAAGTAAGCAAACAAGATAATTACAGATTGTGACAATACTATAAAAGAAATGGGCAGGCAGCTATTATAGAAAGTAAAGGAGATCTACTTAGAAAGAGAGTTTTCATCATCTATACCCCAAAACTTAGTGCCTTAAAATACTCATTTATTTAACTCATGATTTTGTGAATCAGGGATTTGGGGAAGGCTGGGCTGGGAGGTTCATCTCTGCTCCATGTGGTATCAACTGAGGGGCTGGAGAATCCGCTTTCAAGGTGGTTTCTTTTTTGCCCAAAATTTTGTAGTGAAAATTTTCAAGTATACAAAAAAAGTTGAAAGGATTGTACATCAAACACTACCCCAACCACCTAGCTTCTACACTTAGCATTCTACCATCTTTGTTTTATCACACCTCTATCCATGTCTCCACTTCTCCAAGATGGCTTCCTCACTCCCGGGTCTGGTGTCTGATGCTTCTTGGATTCTCTTCCTCCCACATGGCTTGGGCTTCTCACAGCTCAGTGGTCTCAGGCTAGTCGTACTTATGGTGGCTGACTTCCAGGCCATGTAAGTGTCATGCCTGAAACTGACATGGTGTCTCTCTTCCATAGTATGCTCTTGGTCAAAGCAGTCATGGGGCAGAAGAGCATGTGGGATGGCAACACTGCTGGAGCCATCCTTAGAAAAACAATCAGCTAGAAAGAGTGAGCAGGGAAGCCCTTTCTGAAAAGGTAGTATTTGGGCTGAGCCCTGAGGGATGAGGATAAACCTGTCTTGTGAAGATCCAGGAGAGGAGAGCCTTCCAGACAAAGAGACCAACAAAGGCTCAGAGCGAGTCTTGCTACTCTACTTTCCTTTTCCTATAGCCAAATCCAGCCCATCATCCAGGACCTACATGGAGCTGCCTCCTTCATGAAGCCTTCCCCAATACCTCATTACCTGCTGGCCTTTCCCCTCTTCCTAGAGCACTCACGCCTGGAGTGCTCATCTGGCTTGCACAGGTTGGCTGAGAAGTGCAATGGTTATGCACGTAGTCTCTGTGAGGCCTTGGGGAAATTGCTTAACTTCTCCAGCCCTAAGTTTCTCCACCTGCAAATGGGAATAATAACACCTACCTCATAGGGTTGCTGGAGGGAGAATATGAATATATGTACAGGGCTTGGCACCTAGTGAATACTCAACAAATGGCAGCTATAATTAATAATTACAAACCAGCTCACCCTGTCATGTGTTAATCTAGTTTAGAAATTTTTTTCAGAGCAGAGAGCATGCTTTTTTCAACTTTTTCTCTTTCATAGTGCAAGCAGTGTGCCTTGCATAGATATTGTGGATAGGAACAAGCAGGTCACAGAGCTCTTCACCGTGCTGTGGTACTAATGGAGCCACGCAGGGCACAGAGATGAGCAAGACTCAGCTGGAGCCTTCCACAAGCTTCCAGAGAGTGAGAAAGTAGTGTGGGAGATCAAGATTTGGCCACCCTGAAATATATCTCTTTACCTTGATTGTTTTCTCTGAAGGACATTTGACCTCCCCCACTAACTGCCTAAAGAATTTGACATGGTGGCTCCTTCCTGGAACAGATCTTCTATCATGATGGCTATAAAGATAATGTAGAAGAGAGGTTACAATAGCAAAGGCACCAAGCCTCTTTTATCAAAAAACTCTGTCTCTCCCTGACCACATTATCTATAGATGACCCCGAAAAGAATTGTCCTCCTGCCCTCTGAAGTCCCAGGCCACTACCCCCCACCAACACGCTCCTCACCTTTAGCTGCAATACTTAAGCAAGCAGCTTAGACAGAGGGACGAGTTGCTCATTTCTGAGTTTCTCCCATGTATACATGTTATTAAACTTGGTATTATTTTCTCCTGCTAACCTGTCTTGTTGATTATTTGGCCAGCCATAAGAACCTTAAGGAAAAGGGCAGAGGGAGATTCTCCCTCTTCCCCCGACAGTAGCCATGCCTGCAGTAACCACAGTGGGGGCCTTTTACATTTGGATACAGAGAGTAATAGGTTTCAAAGCACCTGCACATCTGTATTAGTTTGCTAGGGCTGCCATAACAAAGTACCACAAACTAGGTGGCTTAAACAGCAGACATTTATTTTCTTACAGTTCTGGAGGCTGGAATCTGAAAACAGGGCTGAGGACTGTGCGGAAGAATCTATTCTACAGCTCTCCCTAGCTTCTTCTTCTTTTTTTTTTTTTTGCGAGGAAGAGCAGCCCTGAGGTAACATCCATGCCAATCCTCCTCTTTTTTGCTGAGGAAGACTGGCCCTGGGCTAATATCCATGCCCATCTTCCTCCACTTTTTTTATATGGGACGCCGCCACAGCATGGCCTGACAAGAAGTGCATTGGTGCGCGCCCAGGATTCGAACCCGGGCCACCAGCAGTGGAGCGTGCGCACACTTAACTGCTACGCCACCGAGCCGGCCCTGTCTCCCTAGCTTCTGATGGTTTGCTGGCAATCTTTGGCATTCCTTGACTCATAATCATCACCCTGATCTCTGCCTCCATCATCACATGGCACGCTCCCTATGTGCACCTCTGTGTCCAAATATCCCCTTTAACAAGGACACCAGTCATACTGGATTAGGGCCCATCTTAATGACCTAATTTTAACTTGATTACCTCTGTAAAGACCCTATCTCCATATATGATCACATTCTGAGGTACTGGGGGTTAGCTCTCCAACGTATCTCTTTTGGGGGCACAATTTGACACATAAAACATCTCTGCCTCCTATGGCCCTCTTCATCCACACTCTGCCGTGAGACCCTCCAGGGCAACTAACAAGTCTTGTTTTAAATATCTGTACCCTTCAGGCCTCAACTTCTCCCCCCCTCTTATGCTCCAAGCCTTTCCAACAGCCTTTCCAGCTCCACCATGCCCTTTCCCCCCTCTCTTTGTCTGGCAGATTCCTATTCATTCTTCATTTCTTAGCTTAAATGTTACCTCCACGGAGAGGCCTTCCCTGATCACCCTCTCTTGATTGTATCTCCCATGTTATTTATTCTCTCATGGTTTCCCCTTTTTTCTTCCCAACACATCTCATGGTTCTAAGTACACATTTATCTTGTGATTGATTAATGAAGGGGACAGACATTAACCCCCAGTCTGTAAGCACAGCGAGGGTAAGGACTCACCTACCCACCACGTCTTCCCAGTTCTATAGGTCATGATCCAGAGCAGAAACTCCATAAATATTTGTTGAATGAACGAACTGTGCATCTTTGGATCCTCCATACCACCCCACATAGTATGGATTAGTGGATGCTGAGTGAATGTATTGTTTCTGTCTGTGTCCTCCAAGAGAGTGAGCTCCTTGAGGGTAAGATTAGGTCTTCCTCTTTTTTGAATCTCTAGCATCCAACCCCTCCTCCTTGATCTTCTGTATTGTTATCTATGCTGCATAACAAGTTATTCTGCAACTTAGGAGCTTAGAACAGTAACATTTATTATTTCACAATTTCTGTGGGCCGGGAATTCAAGAGTGACTTTGTTGAGTGTTTCTGACTCAAAGTCTGTTGTGAGATTATATTTGGGATTTTGGCCAGGGCTGCAGTCATCTGAAGGCTTGACTGGGGCTGGAGGATCCACTGCCAAGATGGCTTTCACACATGGCAAGTTGGAGCTGGTTGCTGGCAGGAGGCTTCAGTGATGACCCACGTGAACCTCTCCCTAGAGCTGCTTGAGTGTCCTCACAGCATGGCTCCCCATGCGTGATCAAGAGACAGCAGACAGGAAGAGCAATGTCCTTTTGTTTTTCCTGTGAGGAAGATCAGGCCTGAGCTAACATCCATGCTAATCCTCTTCTTTTTGCTGAGGAAGACTGGCCCTGAGCTAACATCTATTGCCAATCCTCCTCCTTTTTTCCCCCAAAGCCCCAGTAGATAGTTGTATGTCATAGCTGCACATCCTTCTAGTTGCTGTATGTGGGACGCGGCCTCAGCATTGCCAGAGAAGCGGTGCATCGGTGTGAGCCCGGGATCCGAACCCAGGCTGCCAGCAGCAGAGCGCACGCACTTAACCCCTAAGCCACAGGGCTGGCCGAGAGCAATGTCTTTTATTCTTATATTGGAACTCATGCTCCATGATTTTCACAATATCCTATTGGTTATACCAGTCAGCCCTATTCAATGTGGGAACAGGCTACACTAGGGCATAGACACCAGGAGTCAAGAACCATCCAGGTCCATGGCTGAGGCTCTATCTAAATCAGATCTCCTCTCCCCCTACTACTTGCCACACCTATACTCAGTCATGAAACCGTATTTGCCTTCCAAGCACTTATCACATTGTATGATTACATGTTCATTTAATTATTTTACTCTCACTCCCTCCACCAGACTGTAAGCTCCATGGGGGAAGAGACTGCACCTGTCTGGTTCAGCCCTGTACCCCCGGTTACTAGCACAGGCTTAGAGTAGGTGCTCGGTGAATGTTTTGAACGAATTCTAATAATTAGCTTCTGTCTGAATTACAAGAACGTGCTTGTTTGTCTCCCCTCTGCTTTATAGGCTCCCAGCTCAGGGCCTGGAAAAGAACTAAGACGTCTAGAAACGTCTACAACCATTTGCTGAAATGGGCTGAGTGATAAAGTGGCCTGAAGAATCGGGAAGGTCTGGATCTCGCTTCCCCAACCCTCTCCGTTCAGCTCAAACACACAGAGTGGGGACAAAAGCCGGACAAAGCCACAGACCTCCCACTCTAGCAACGCGGGCGGAACTGAGCTCGCTGGTTGCTCAGGGTACGTCACTTCCGGGATCCGGGTTGGCGGGGAAGCACTTCCGGGGCAGCGGCGTGGCGGCGCGGGAGGTGAGTGCGGCGGCGCCGGCGGCCGCGCTGGGGCTTCGGGACAGGGATGAGTCGCGGCGGCCGCGGGGACGGAGAGGTGGCTGGGCTGGGGCAGTACGGCCCGGCTGTCCCCGGCGGCGCGGCTCGGCGTGAATAACTTCCCGGGGCGTTCTCAGGAAGTTCCTTGCCGAGGGCAATTGGAGTCCCAGGGAGGCGGAAGGCCTCGCCTGCGGCTGGCCAGCGCTTCAGTCCAGACCCCGGGCCCGAGCCCACTCCTCCTCTCGGCCGTGACCCGGCCTTGCCTCCCTCGGTGGAGCATTAGGAGGAGCCAGAGCTCCAGAGCCGGTCTGGCCGGGGTTCCAGTCCTGGGTGTGCGGCGTATTGCTGTGTAACCCCGGGCAATCTCTGTTTGCCACTCTGGTTCTCAGTTTCCTGCTCTGTAAAACGGGCGCATAGGCTTGATCTGAGGATGAAAGGAGGTGGTGAATGCAAAGCGCGAAGTAGGTGCACAGTGCGTGTTTGTTGGAGAATTAATTCTTCTTAAGTGAAGCGGGAAGTAAACATATGAAATCTCACACTTTTTAAATGGTGGCGACAGATTCGGATTTAATAATTATATTTTGCAGGACATCTGCACACCAGTTTCAGCTCACTGGCTGCCAGTTGTGATTCTGTTCTGGGAGATAACTTAGCTTTCCGTGGGACAAAATTCTAACCCAGTTTTGAGCAGCTCTGGGGAATTGGGTATACAGCCCATTGCTGTAAGACAGTGAGTAACTCCTGACACTGGTTTTCTATTTCCCAGTCCATTTCAGTTGAATTCTCAGAACAGAATTTTAAAATTGCGTAATTAGAAGCCAAGAATTGCTTACTAACAGACTTGAAATCTGGAGTTTTCAGTCTTAGAGAAGATATACTTTCTATTTGATGAGTCTGGAGAGCTCTACATGTCTCAGGAGTTATTTATCTGTTTTGACATGTTGACATTTTTTTTTCAATAAACTTTTTATTTTAGAACAATTTTAGATTTACAGAATTGTTGCCAAGATACTAGAGTGAGTTCCCATATGCCCCCCACACAGTTTCCCCTATTATTAATGTCATACATTAGTATAGTACATTTGTCACAATTAATGAACTAAAATTGATAAGTTATTATTAACTAAAGTCCATGCTTTATTCAGATTTAATCAGTTTTGCCCTAATATGCTTTTTCTGTTCCGGGGTCCTATCCAGGATACCACATTACATTTAGTAGTTGTGTCTCCTTATGCTCCTATTGGCTGTGATAGTTTCTCAGACTTCCCTTGTTTCAGATAAATTTGACAGTTTTGAGTATTACTGGTCAGATATTTTGTAAAATGAACCTCAGTTGGGATTTGTCTGATGTTTTTCTTATGATTAGATTGGAGTTATGGGTTTTGGGGAGGAAGACCACAGAGGTAGGGTGCCATTCTCATCACATGACATCGGGTACATGCTGTGAATATGAGCTACCACTGCTGACGTTAACCCGGATCAGTAGCTTGAGGTGGTCAAGTTTTTCCGCTGTCAAGTTACTCCCTTTCCCTCCCTTTTTCGTACTGTACTCTTATGTACAGCCCATGCTTAAGGAGTGTGGAATTGTGCTTCATGCTTAAGCAGATTATCTACAGAAATTGTTTGGAATTCTTCTCTGTGGGAAATTTGTCTGTTCTCCTCCACTCATTTATTTACTTACTTCGTCATTTCTATCAGTGTGGACTTGTGGGTGTTTATTTTCATACTTTGGGTTATAGTCCAGTACTGCTTTATTTTTAATTGCTCAGATTGTTCCAGCTTTGGCCACTGGGAGCTCTTCCAGTTGCTCCTGTATCCCTTGACGTACCCCGATCATTGTGTCTTTTGTTTTGTTTTTTTGAACTCTTTCTTTCGGCTCCAGGCTCACCTTGTATATTTCCTGCCTCAGTCCTAGAATTAACCATCTCTCCAAGGAGCCCTGGGTTCCTTTTACTGGAGAATGGTGTTAGACACCAAGATCTGGGTGTTAAGTGTGCTCATTGCTGCTGGGATGCCCTTGCTTCTAGACTCTCAGTGGACAGAGCAAGAGATATATATGTGTATACTAACCTGGTATATATACACCTATCTGTAAATATTTCTATATGTAGCCACCTGTATCTATATTAAGCTAAACATGAGTTCATACTGATGTCTGCAACTCTCATCCATTCCACATGGATCATTCTAGCCTCCTTCTCTGGCTTATCTGGAACCTCCCACTCCAACTGTGACAAACCTAGCTCCCAGTATCTACAGTCCGTTTATTTAACTGTTCAGTTCTGGTATACATGTCTAGTGGTTTCAGAATTGTTAACTTGTATCCCCCATGGGGAACAGTTTTATCAACTAGAGCATAGTGCACATGCACAATTCCTTTTGCCTCTAGTCTTAGAGACTCCAGTCACCTCCAGAGTTAAGAGGTCAGCGCCCGATTTCCCCCTACCCCTTCAGTGAAGCTGTTTAATACACTTGTAATACATTTAGATTCAGGTGTCACATTCTGCGTTCCATCCTGGGATACCCCGACCTCTTAAGTGATTTTTAAAAAATATTTGCATACATTAAAGTTTACTTTTTATGCTGTAAATTTCTATGGGTTTTGACAAATGTTTAATGTCTTGTATTCACCGTTACAGTATCATATAGAATAATTTCACCTTCAGGGATTATTTTTAACTTCCCTCTTTCAGATTTCACCTCAGCAATTCTATTGGCTCTCTCTTCAGAATATATCCATAACCTGAGAATTGACCACTCCCACTGCTGCCACCCCAGTGCTAGTGTGTCTTTGTGACTGTTACGGTAGCCTCCTAACTGGTCTCCTGTTTCCCCTCTGTCACCTACAGTCTATTCTCAATGCAGCAGCCAGAGGGACCATTTTAAAATGAGTCAGACCATGTCATTTCTTTCCTAAAAACCTTCCAATGACTCCCCTTCCACTCAGAGGAAAAGCCCAAGTGCTTATAATGGCCCACGGACCCTACACAGCTTGCTCACTTTCCTGTTCTCTATCACAGAGCTCATTCCTGCCTCAGGACCTTATCCCTTGCTGTTCCTCCATCCTGCGGCACTCTAACAGATACTTAAATGACTTGTTCCTTCACTTTCTTCTTGCCTCTGCTGAAATGTCACCTTCTCAGAGAGGTCCTACCCTGACCACCTCATAGAAAATAGCACCGTGTTCCTCCCTCTTTGTATTTTCTCGTAATACTGATCCCTGACATTACGTTATATGTATACTCGGCACACAGTAGTTGCTCAATAAATATGTGTCCAGTAAATGAATGTTTCAGACCACTGGTGTCTGGCATTCAGGGATGAGCCTCGGGGGGTCCAGTAACCTCATGAAATTATTTGCAGTGTTTGGTAATAAATTGGTATGTACTGTTTATTAAATTCTGATAGGGACATGAGATTTCCCCAGTGTATAGAAACCTCTGCTCTTGAGCAAGTCTGGAGCACCAGGGCTAAGACGTTGCAGGAAGGTCAGCAGGGCCCTGACTTGCTGGGAGAGCCTGCGTGAGCCCCATGCCTCTCAGCTCCTCTTCCTCACTGTTACATGAGGCAGTTGGTTGAGGCATCCGCTCTTGCTTTAAAGGCGGGAAACAGAGGCAGAGGCTTCATCGTTTACCAAATATTTAAGTCAGGCCCTGGAACAACCAAGATGGGCCCAGGGCCCCTGCTCTCCAGGAGCTTGCCGTGGAGCACGTGAAAAATCATTAGACTCCAGTGTAGTGTTTCTCAAACAATAAGAAATACATTCTGAATTTTGACCTAGAACATACATACTTGGATGTAGATGGATATAAATGAAAAAAAGCTTCTGGACGCTGACCTTTACTAATGTGATCTTTTCTATTGTCATTTAATTAAATAAAGTGCTGGCTAATAAAGTTAAGTAGGAATAATAAAGCTAATAAAGTTAAGTAGGAATAATAAAGCTAATAAAGTTAAGAAGAAAAAGTGCTGGTTGCAGACTGCTAAGCGGTTTCCATGGCTCACAGCCTGCAGTTGGGAAACCACTGAGCTAGTGGTTAAGAGCTCGGCTCTGGAGGAGCCACAGAGCCAGCCGGTTTGAATCCTGACTTTGCCACTTCTCAGCCAAGTAATCCCTGGGTAGGGGGATTACACATACCCTCTCCAGGCCTCGGTTTCCTCATCCTCATTAGTAATACCCACCTCCCGGAGTGGTCGTGAAGTGAATGAGATGCTGACTGTAAAGTGCCGTGCACATCTGGTAAATGATTTGCTCACTGTTGCTACTGCGACAATGGCGGGGGGGTGGGGAACAAAGCCTATCCTAGACAGTCTGAGGGGTAAGCGCCTCCCAGTCGAGAGCTGAAGGATGAGTAGGGCTCTTGTGACTTCTGTAATCAGGAAAAGGAAACCCAGAAATGCTGGCAGGCAGGCTGGAAGTCAAGCTTGGGAGTGCAGAGAAAATACGAGAGTTCTAAAGCATACGCAATATATAGAGAGCATTTTATGTTTTCCAGATCTTTTTTATAACTACCCTCCTGTTACAACTGTGCTGCCCAATATGGGAGTCCTCTAGCCACATGTGACTATTTATATTTAAATTAATTATAGTTAAGTAAATTAAAATAATAAATTCAGTTCCTCAGTAGCCACGTGTGGCTGGTAGCTACCATATTGGAGAGCACAAATATAGAACATTTCCATCATTGCAGAAAGTTCTGTTGGACAGCACTTCATTAGGCCCTATAAAAGTCCTGTGAAGGAATTAGATAGGGCACGGATTTTTCTTTTAAATTGTATTCATTGTTTCAATAAGATTCCAAAAAATTAAAACTATCACCCCTTCACTTTAACAGCAACTATTTACATTTTCCTGTGGCCTCATTTGATCTTTAGCCAATGAAATCAGTTTATACATGGTTGCACTCCCGGTGTTTATATACTTGTTTTCATTTTTCAATTAATATTATTTTGCAGAGACTTTCCACTGACATGGTAGACGTTTATATTTGTCGTTTTAGTGAAGGAGGGATGTGTCGTGATGTACCATCATTGGGTTCACTGCTTCTTTATTGTTGGACGCTTTAGTTGCTTCCTGTTTTTCAGTATTATGAATAGCGCTGCCATGAACTTTTTTGTATCTGAAGACTTTTTCTTCTTTTGAATTGTTTCCTTACTGTAAATTCTAGGAAGTAAGTTATTCAGTCAAAGGATGTAATCACTTTTATGGCTCTTGTTATATATTGCCTAATTGCCATAAAAAAAAAACCCCTAAATGCATTAAGGCTTTGAATAGATATTATTGTTGTTATGTGGCTCCTGAGAACATCAGGTCTCCAGGAGGTCAAGCGATTGGCCCAAAGTGTAGCTAATTGCTGATAGAGTCCTGACTCCTGGCGCCATCTTTGTATTGTACTATGAATATTCATAACACTGTTGCTGTTAGTAACGCTAATAAATGTAAGCATTGATAAGCCCAGTAGGCTCCTTACAGCCTTAAGTATAAAGCTTGGGGTCAACGGCATTTTTTAAAATGTATATTTATGAGGTGCAACTGTGAAGAAATGAGAGAGCTTTTTCACACTGTGGTATTAACGTGGTGGTGCCCTGTCGTGGCTGTACGTTTCCTCCAGTGAAGCTGTTCTTGCAGCTGCCTTGGAATTCCGTTCAGGGCCAGTTTTTGAGCCACCCCAACAATCTGCCTCGTGTGTGAGCATTATACCTTGTGTTTGACCAAAAATGGTATTCCTGAGCTTGAGGCCCCACCTGATTCACCACACTTGAATCCAGATGATGTTGGGTTCTTTCCAGAAGTCAAATCCTTCCTGGGAGGATGAAGATCTCCCAGCTCTGAGGGTTTTTAAAAAAATGGGCCTCAGGCTTTGAAGGCCATTCTCGAAGAAGACAGAAGTGATGTGAAAAGTGGCCACCCTGTTGGCACAGGCGCATGATCTTCCTACACGACCAGGTTGAAAAGGAAACAGTATGCATTTGCATAAGTCCCACACTGTTTACTTAGAAGGTCATTTTTGTTATCCTTCAGTCAGTCCTCCTCCCTGTTGGAAAAATGTTGCAAAGCAGTGAAGTCACAGAGCCCAAGTGGAGGAAGGTCGTAGGGACAGTGTCTTTGGCTCAGGGCTACAGGAATACAATGCAGGCCATGTGTGTAATTTTAAATTTTCTAGTAGCCACATTTTAAAAAGAAAAGGAAAAAGGTAAATTGATGTGTTTTATTTTTGTTAAATATATATAACATAAAATTTACCATTTTAACTTTTTAAGTATACAAAGTCAGTGGCATTCACAGTGTTGTATGACCATCACCACTATCTATCTCCAGAACTTTCTCATCATCCCAGATTGAAATTAGGTACCCATTAAACAATAACTCTCCATTCCCCCTCCGCCAGCCCCTGGTAACCTATATTCTAGTTTCTGTCTTTATGAATTTCCCTATTCTGGGTACCTCACATAAGTGGAATCATACAATGTTTGTCCTTTTGTGTCTGGCTTACTTCACTTAGCATAATATTTTCAAGGTGTATCCATGTTGTAGCATGTGTCAGACTTCATTCCTTTTAATAGCTGAATAATATTCCTTTGTATGTATAGACCACATTTTGTTTATCCATTCATCTGTTAGCTCTTGGTTGTTTCCATCTTCTGGCTACTGTGAATAATGCAGCTGTGAACATTAGTGTACAAGTATCTGCCTGAGACCCTGCTTTCAGTTGTTTTAGGTGTATACCTAGGAGTAGAGGTGCTGGATCATATGGTAATTCTATGTTTAACTTTTTGAGAAACTGCCAAAGTGTTTTCCACTTTGTCTTTATTCTCTTGATAGTGTCCTTTGAGGCACAAAAGTTTTTAATGATGAAGTCCAATTTATTTTTTCTTTTGTTGCCTGTGCTTTTGGTGTCACATCCAAGAAATTATTGCCAAATCCAGTGTCATAAAGATTTTCCCCTATGTTTTCTTCTATGAGTTTTGTAGTTTTGGCTCTTAAGTTTAGATCTTTGACTCATTTCTGAGTTAATTTTTGTATATGGTATTAAGGTAAGGGTCCAGCTTCATTATTTGCATGTGGATATCCAGTTTTTCTATCACCATTTGTTGAAAAGACAACATTGAATAATCCTTCCCCACTGAATAATCTTGGCACTGTGTTTGAAAATCAGTTGACTAGGGGCCGGCCCTGTGGCATAGTGGTTAAGTTCAGCGCGCTCTGCTTGGGTGGCCCAGGTTTGTGAGTTCAGATCCTAGGAGTGGACCTACACCACTCGTCACCTATGCTGAGGTGGCGACCCACATATAAAATAGAGGAAGATTGGCACAGATGTTAGCTCAGGGCTAATGTTCCTCAAGCAAAAAAAAAAAAAACATCAATTGACTATATATATGTGAGGGTTTATCTCTAGACTCTCTAGTCCACTGGTCTATATCCTTATGCCAGTATCGCATGTTTTGATTACTGTAGCTTTGTAGTAAGTTTTGAAATCAGAAAGTGAATCCTCAAACTTGTTCTTTTTTAAGATCAGGTGAAATTAATAATATAGTTTATTTAACCCAATATATCATTTCAACATGTAATCAATATAAAAACATTATTAATGAAATATTTCACATTCTTATGTTCATACACTCTTCTAAATTGAGTGTGTCTTTAACTTAACAACCATCTCAGTCTGGACTAGCTGTATTTCAACTCTCAATAACCACGTGTGGCTCACGGCCACCACATTGGCAGCTTAGATTTAGCAGAAAATTGCATTATGGCACAGATCTCTGAAAACACAAAGGGTTTTGGAGTCAGGTAGGCCTGGTTCCAAAGTAAGTTTGCCGCTTTCTCGTTGGAGTGGGCGGAAGGAAGCCATTTGTGGGTGTCGTGGTGGAGGGGAGCAGTTCAGTCATACCAGAGTGGGAGGAGGGCATGCTGGGGAGGTGACACTTGAGCTCAGCCTTGGAGGTGGAGTGGGAGCCTTGCCAAGCAGTCAGAGTGGGAAAGGGCCGTCTTGGCAGATACGCAGCTTGGGTAGAGGCCCAGGATTTTGAAAGGGCCCAGTGCTCTTGGAGAACTACAGGCAGTTCTTTCATCTCAACCAGGGTATTAGGAGTCGGGGGCTCTGGTGCAGGGAGAGGCTGGAGAGGTGGGCTGAGGCCCGACTTTCCACAACTGGCCATCACTGCCTCTGTTGTCCATGTCCCCAGCATCTCTAATTTGGATTATTGGCACTAGCCTCCTCAGTGGTCTCCCTGTGTTCCCTCTGCCCTCCCCACCCCCCACCCCTTAAAATGTGAGTCAGATAATATCACTTCTCTACTCAAAACCCTTCTGTGGCTTTACATTTTACTCAGTCAAATCAGAAGTGTCTAGTCCTCCGAGGTCTGCCCCCACTCCTGTTCTGATGTTGTCTCCTTCCTCCCTCCCTCCTGAATACTCCTCTCTGGCCATTTAGGACTCATTTCCCTGCCCTGGGGCCTCTACACTGCCTTTCTCTCTGCCTGGACTATGCTTCTCTGAGATGTTCCAGTGGCTCATTCAAAACAGTTATCACTAGCTGTCGTATCACATCTGGATGTGTTCCTTGTCTGCCTCTGTCCTGAGATGTAGTCCCCAAGAGAGCAGAGATATTTCTGTTTTGCTCACTTTTCAGTGCTTGGTGTTCAGTAAGTATTTGTTGAGTGAGTGACTGGATGAACAGATACAACAAAACCTGAAACATAGCAGGCCTTCAGTACATATATGTTGATTTGAGATTTTTGTTGAAGTGTTTGCATTTGCTTATTTTCTCTAACTTTATGTTTGGAAAAATTTCAGACATACAAAAAAGTCGAAATAATGGTCCAATGATTATCCATATATCCTCCACTTAGATTCAAGAATTGTTAGCATATTACTACGATTGCTTTATATATTCTTGCGTGTGTGTGTGTATGCGCGCATGCGTGTGCACAAGTAGAACCATTTAAAAGTCAGTTGTAGAGACATGACGCTTACCGTTTGCATTTAGAAGGTGGCTCTGGAGAGTGGTGAGTCAGAGGAGACCACAGGCAGCAGGCAGCTGGGGCCATGGCCTCCGACCTGGACTTCTCCCCTCCCGAGGTGCCCGAGCCCACCTTCTTGGAGAACCTGCTGCGGTATGGACTCTTCCTAGGGGCCATCTTCCAGCTCATCTGTGTGCTGGCCATCATCGTACCCATTCCCAAGTCCCACGAGGCGGTGAGTCCTTCCTTGTGAGCCTCAGCTCCTCAGGCTGGGTTCTAGGTACTAAACATAGTTACCACAGCAACGAAGATCAGCAGGGACTATGCTGGGCTTGATTGATTTAGTGTGTCCCCAGATTCCCACCTGGTGGCATTAAGCCACATGATTAATACTTTATTTGTTTACATGTGTGTTAAGCATATTTTTATTTAGTGCCTACTACGTGTTAGACTCTGCTGAAAGATGTAGTGTCTGCCCTCAAGGAGCTTTTAGTCCTTGGGAGAAGGGCAGATATAAAATACTCACACATGTGTCCATGAGGAGCACAGGGCACTGTGAGGGTGTATAACAAGAAGAGGACTTGGTCTTACGCGGGGGTTGGGGCTGGGCTCCTCCCCCTCCCCCAGGGAGAGGGAACTTCATGTGCAAGGAAGCAAGGAACGCGCTAGTTCAAGGAACTGAATGAAGGTGACTGTGGCCATAGCTGAGGGGACATGATGAGCGGTGCAGCCAAAGGAGTGGGCAGGGCCCAGAGGGTTTTAAGGAAGAGAGTGACGTGATCAGATTGGCCTTTTTGTTGTTTTGACTCTTGTTCTATCGCTATACACCCTCCTTCCACCACCACCCCCCGCCCCCTTTTCTCATGACATTGGTTTGTTGGAGAAAGCAGATCATTGTCATCTTTGACATCCATATCCAGGATTTGGCTGATTGCTTCTCTCTGGTGTCATTTAACATGTTTCTCTGTTCCCCATATTTCCTATCAACAGGAAATGTGATCTAGAGGCTTGATTCAATTCTGGTCAGGTTATTGGGTAAGAACACCTCAGAGCTGGTGCTGTATACTTCCTGTTGTATGTCATCAACAGGCACGTGGTGTCTGGTTGTCACACATTTAGAGGTTCTAGGATTGATCACTGGGTTCAGATGGTAGCTGATCCCTCTGTTATAAAATCCCCATCAATCTTTCACCAAAAGGGTTTTAGCATCTATTGGTGATCATTGCTTCCATCCGTTATTTCCTCCAGCATTTATTAGGTAGAATTCTGCAATGAAGACCTTTTCCTTATCACCTATATGGTTATCCTGAAAAATGATATTCATACCAAAAGGTAGGATAAATGCTTGGTTCTTTCCCTTTATTTATTAACTTTTGGTGAGTTTGGGCTCTAGCAACCTCCAATCTTGATTAGTGAAGCTTTGATTTTCATATCATTTTGAACATATATTTTTATACATTTGATATGTTTTAATTAATTTTAGTTTTTTTAATGCTCAAATGGTCTCAATGGGAGCCCTATCAGGTTGTGTGAAATCTTGTCTTCCAGGGAAGCCCATTAGAGACTCATTGCCTAGGGTTTTTATTGGGGACAGGTCACATAAGCACTCTGCCTAGCCTGGACCAAAATTCCAGACATCCAGAAGGAAAGCAGTTATTCAGCATAAACCATATTTCTTTGCACAAACAGTTTAGGCACAGTGAGCCACTGTTATCCATTCTGGGAATTGTGGGAACCACCCAAAATGCAATTTCTCAGATGCCAGCCAGGGGCCAACCTTGCAAGCTGGCTTTTCTAAGGATAGCAGGGTTTTTTTATATTATATTTTTTATATTCTCCATATCTACAATATACTTATTATAGTTTTAAATTAAAGTAACATTTTGTTTTGCACTGCTAGCAATAAGATTCAGAATGAAACTTATGATTTGTTCGTGGTTCTTTTTTGGCCCACAGATATGTCCCAGTAGGGTTGTGTGGTCAGAGTACTGTGTTTAGTAATTCTTTTCTTCATATAGGTATACTCTCACCATGACATACAGTTAGGTTAATTTGCTTCAATTTGTTTCTAATTTTTAGGGATTTTTTCCTTTTCAATTTAATTAAAAAATTATGCAAAATATTTATATACGACATTTCCCAAAATCAAAGCTATGTAAAAAGATACAGTCACAGAAGTTTCCTTTAATGTCAATATCTTCCACCCTTTTCCCTTCTTCCCTCTGTGGGTGACCATTTTTATTATTTTGATTTATCCTTCCTTTGTTTCTTTTTGAAAACATAGGCAAATGCATAAGTGTGTGTGATATATATATTTATTATACTCCTCATTTGATACACAAAAGATAGCATACTATTAAACACAGTCTTACATCATTCTTTTTCACTTAACAATATACGGTATATTCTGGAGATCCATGTATCTTGGAGATGACTGTGTCCCAGAGGTTCTGCTTGTGTAGCTGGGAGGATGATGGAGATTTCCTGATGTAGGGGAACCCTGGTGAAGGAGCAGACTTGGGGTGGGGATGGGGAAGGAGTGTGCTGAGTTCAATTTTAAACAGGTGCCTTTAAGATGTCCAGGTGGTTCTGTCAAGTAAGCAGTTGGATGTCTAGGTCTGTGTCAGGAGGAGGGTCTGGGCTGAACGTTGATCAACATTTGGGAGTTGATGAGATGTAATTGAAGGCATGGGAGAAGATGAGGTCTCCTAAGGAGCGAGACGAGAAGAGGGTCTAGGCTGGGGCCTTCAAGAACTCTAGCATTTAGAGAACAGGCAGGGAGGAGCAGCGTGGGAGGGCGGGGAAAACCTTGGTGAACATGGACCGGCTCATGGCCTCTGGATTGTTCTGTCTATCTCCATTTCTTGTTCTGGTGTTTTGAGAAGGAGGTCACGATTGGAGTTTTTCCACCCACAATTGTATCACACTCTAAAAACATAATCCCTGTGCTCTGGGGCTCTGTCCTCACAGACACGGCTTGCTATTGGCTATTATAAATAACAAACATTTTTATTGTCATTGGCCACTGATGAAGCCTGCTAAGAGTCCCGAGGGAGAGAGGTGATGAATGTTCTTGTTTTATAGGCAGAGATGTAGTGTCAGAGGTGTGTGGCCTTTTGGAGAGCTGCTGCACACCTCCTGTTGAGTTCTTAACCCTTCAAGGCTAGCCACAGAGGCCTGGGTCAGTTTAGCAAACTTTCAGGAAAAGGGGTGCCCTTTACCCATCTCTTTGAGGTTTTTAGTGGCGCAGTGGGTTGAGGTCTTTTGAGGCAGGGAATTGACAAAGGGTCCAATATATGCCTTCATTCCTCCTCCCCTCACCTCCTCTGCCATTTGTATGTTAATTTGGGACAAAAAACTCATCTTTTAAAATATAAATATAGTATATAACATCTCATTTTAATTTATCTTGCAGTTTAGGGAATAAGGCTCACACAAGTGAATTGTCTTCATAAAGGAAGCTTACTGTTTTAGCTTTTTTCTTTTTTTGGTTTTTCAATGGATCGGTGGCAAAAAATACAGTACCATTAATTTAACTTTTTATTGGTGCATCACGCCAGCAAATGGCCCCCAAATACGCAGGGATTCCACTGCTAGCTTTCCTCTGGATGCCCCATAAGGCAGCCTTCTCTTACTCCCCAAACTCCTAAATAAACAGAAAGGAAACACAGTATTCTGCGTGTGAACAGTCTTACAAAGAGAGGATGAGTGTTAAGACTCACCCTCTCTTAGAGGTTGTGCCCAGCAGCTAGATGGGATTTGGAATTGGAAGGGGAGGGCAGAAGAAGGGGGTTTTAACTTGGGGCTGGGGAGCTCTTAGGGAGGAAGGGAGCCTGTGGGAATGGGGACAGCCTGTGGGGACCTCAGGCAGCCCAAGGGCAGGAGGGAGGTACCTGGAAGTGGAGGGTGCCAGGAGGTGGGGGGGACCCAGACAACAATTGCTCTCTTTGCTGTTCTGCTTAGGGCAAAATCATCCCTCTCGCCTGGCCTATGGAAATGAGGTTTATTAGTGGCTTTTTGGGTCAGAAGATAATATTTTTGGCTCCAGATGATGGGAAAGCCTTTGAAAGGCAAAAGAATGTCTTTCCTGTTGTTCCAGTAAGCCGATTTTTTGCAACTAGTTTATGACTTCAGTACCTCAATACTTAGCGGATTATTTGAAAGCTCTTTTGGGGGTAATCAGGGAAGGAAAAAGGAACACATACAAATGCTTCCCACCCCACCCCCTTCCTTTTCATAGCAGGAGCAAGAGCCAATTCGTAAAATCACAACCAAAGTCCCTAGAACCCTAAGCCAAATGAGAACGTTTTCTCATTGATAGCTCATTAAACTAAGACGCGAGAAAACAAAGGTTTGTTTGAGCCTGATTGAGGCCTGGGCCACAGTTAATCCAAGCGTTTTCTTGTAGGCTAGATTCTAAAATATAAGAAGGTAGATCCTTACACCATTTCTGTCTAGTCCAGGATGCAGATACATTTCACCTCTTGCCAAGGCTGATTGATTGTGTGGTGGCCATGGTGAAAAGAATTCTGGGGCTGCTTCTAGGCTCCAGAGTAAGGAAATTGATTAGTGATGTCTGCCATGAGCAAGGGGCTAGGGGGTGGTGGTAGCACAAATTGCCCATCCTTGGGCTGATCCAAGATTCTCCATCTGGCTGCACCCACCGGGAGAATGTTCAGGGGCCTGGGCTGCACTCGTAGAGATTCTGATTTAGTTGTTCTCTGAAGACTTGGATCAGTACTTTCTTAAAGTGCCCAGGTGATTCTGTTATGCAGCCACTGGTCCCTGAAGCACAAACCAATTTTAGGAGGACAGGAGATATTCAGTTCTACATGTATAAGTTTGAAATAATAGCAAGACTTCCAAGTGGTCAAAGAAGAGCCAGTGAGAAGTTGGGGATAGAGACCTGGGAATTCTTTTATCAACGTAGCATTATTTCTTGAAACCCTAAGAATGAGTTGCTGAGTTTTTCAAGGGAAATTAAGATTCAGGAAAGGCCTGAACTCGAGACATGCTCAACCTGCTTGAAGTAGCTTCTGTGCAGTGTAGATATGTTGAAAAGATGCAGGTGCTGTCCCAGAGCGGGGAAGAGGTTGAGACCCGGTCACTCACCATCTGCATCTCCTCTGCCTCCCGTGCTGTCTTCTGTCTTTCACTTCTCTTACTGGGGCCCTGCTTCCTCTGTTGGCTGTCCCTGTGGTAAGACGAAACATGGCCACTAACAGCTCCCAGAGT